AATTTATTTCACATAACCCAACATGGTACTGTAAACTGATGTATACAAAACAACAATGAACATCTTGTTTTATTCTGAAATATTAAGCAACGAAGTGGCCTGTGCTCTACTAAATAATTGCACCTCTGCTTAGGTAGGGAAAAAAACAGCATTGTTCTCTTGGGATGCCAGGGCTGCTCAGTCAAAGCCACGGGAAAATAAATGGCTTCTTTTTAAACAAAAATGTCATTCAGTGCACAACAATCAGTCTTAAAATGTGCCACTTGCCTGACATAGCTACAGTGGTTGTATTCTCCTCAGGATCTTGCACTATTATTAGCATAATTCCTGGAGCTCCAGCCGTGTTACAGTCACAATGCAGATCAGCATTAATCACGCTTCCAGACAAAGGCAACAGAAATATATGATAGAAATAAACAAAATGTCAGCTAGGTTGATGCTGTGAAAAAATAACATTCAGGTGTCAGGTATGCTGACAAAGTGAAAATAGGAAAGTATACACCTATGCAATGCAAAGACAGAAAGCTGAAAAATATATTAATCAAACAGCTGGCCTAGTTAATCATGGCTTACAAACTCCCCTGTACTGAAAGTTTGCATGTGGACCAATAACTTATCTTAGTTCTGGACACATTCTACCATTCCCAATATGTTCCTGCTATGTATTCGGAAACATTAAGCATTGCAGAGATGGTATAATAATGTGTATGAAAGCAACCATTACTATAAAAGATTGAACTCATGGATTGCTATAGAGAATAAAGACAGCTGTTTTCAAGTCAATAAGAACCTATGTCGAGTATTTATGTTGTCTTTGTCCTAATTGGGACATTTTTCTTTACAGGACAGGAAGCAACAGTAAAGTTTCCCCCGCAGGTATGCAAAGGGTAATAAAGCTCTAACCTCCTAGTCAAATCTAATAAATAGATAGATAGATAGATAGATAGATAGATAGATAGATAGATAGATAGATAGACAGATAGATAGATAGATAGATAGATAGATAGATAGATAGATAGATAGATAGATAGATAAATAGATAGGTAAATAGATAGGTAGATAGAATTTTTTTTTTTTTTTGGGGGGGGGGGACAGTGTGAGGCCCCACCACTCTAAAAATGGAATTAGAAATAGAAAGGCTTACAAATATGCAAAGGTGTGGGGCTCCAAAATATTGATGTTAAGAAATGTAATCGATTTAAGATCTTTTGTTTTTTTTTTCTGGGATTTGGTATTTTCAGATTCGAAGAGTTTTGGGAGAGAAGAAGTCTCCAATCCAGTGTTTAGGTCTTGCAGAAGACCATCAGGCTGAGTGTAGATAGACTTGAACATAGCTCAGAGCTCCCATTAGGAAGCAATTGTGCCTGCTTAGGAGACAATACTCTAAGCAGGTGACAGTAGATTCCTTTTCCAGATGACCAAGAGATGTGAGATGACTAGTCCAGAGGAATGAGGAAATCTAGACGGCTCAGAGGATTAAGAGAGCCTGGGGTGTCATCCCCTATCAAGATGCCAGGGAGTGTGCAGGTGCTGAACCTGAAATGACTGAGAGAGCCTGGGGAGCTAAGAGAGCCAGGAGAGAGCCATTCTCTACCTCCTCACAATCCAGGTTCCAGTTTCCTTCTTTCACCTCCTCTCTATTATTAAGCCTAGTCTCATCTTCATTTCTAAACAGTTTAGTCCCGCTGCCTACTCTCTCCCTCTGTTCATCAATAAATGGCTCTACCGCTTCCTCTTAGCCTCCATCTGGTTGCAGATAGAGGCAGCCTCTGCCTCACATAGATTCATGCTTATGCCAAAGTTGAGAGAAGGACTGAGAGAGAAGCAGTAGCCAAAGGGACTTCAAGGGAACCTGAGCACAGAGAGAAGTAATTATTTAGAGTGGACAGAACCAATTCTATTGACAGACTCAAAAGGGATCAGCAGACCTAAAGCCCATTTTGGACTTTAGGCCTGTTTTATTGCAATAATGGTATACATTCCCTATCATACAAATGTATGGTAAAATCCATTTACATACATAGCACTTTCTGTTCTGTATATGTGCCCTCCTTAACTAAAAGTCTACTTTGGTGATATTTTTTGCTTCTCGAACTCCAGCAGGTTTTACCATTGTATTGACAAAATTAGGAAATGTGTTATATCTATATTGAAGGAAGCTGAATGATGAAGTTCCTGTATGTTGAAGGCAATAAATGTAGCATTTAGATCAGCAGTCTTCTTGTCTAGCTTATAAAGAACTTAATTGTTTACAGTTCACCGTATAAGTCACAACCAGGTCCAATAGGAAAGTGTTCTTACCATGTTGATTATGCCTGGCCCTGTCCAGAGTGCTCTATCTGAGAGACTGCACTCCATGCCAGAGACTGCAATCCCTACAGGGGTTCTGTGCCTGTGGAACACTAAAGAGACTTGAAGCAACTACATGAGTCTGGGGGATGGATAGATGATCTGGGAGACTGAAAAGGCTGGAACAACTAGGCAAGAATACAGGACTGCAAGAATACAGGACCCTAAGTCTCAGAGGAGTGAGAGAGAGCTCAGGGTATTACAAGAACCCCTATGTAGAGGCCAGGAGTGGTCCATGCAGCAAGATACCGTAATCAAGACTAAGTGAGCCAGCAGAGCCAAGAGGAGTTGGGTGAGACAGGTATGAGAGACAATAGCAGATGTGCTGCTGACAAGATAGTCAGGAGGTTCAGCATTTTTTCTACTGTTTTGTGGAGCTGAAACCCCTGCATGGGAAACTATGTGGATTTTTCTTTTCATTTTGCAATAAGTGTGATACAGAAAGCCCTTAAATACAGTTTGGGCCAGCAGAACTTTCTTAAAAATCATTTACCACATGAGCTAAACACTAAACATCCCCTATATCGATATACAGTATAATATATATATACAGTGAGGAACAGAAGTATTTGAACACCCTGCGATTTTGCAAGTTCTCCCACTTAGAAATCATGGAGGGGTCTGAAATTCACATTGTAGGTGCATTCCCACTCTGAGACACAGAATTTTAAAAAAAAATTCAGGAAATCACATTGTATGATTTTTAAAGAATTTATTTGTTTTGCACTGCTGAATATAAGTATTTGAACACCTGAGAAAAACAATGTTAATATTTGGTACAGAAGCCTTTGTTTGCAATTACAGAGGTCAAACGTTTCCTTTAGTTCCTGACCAGGTTTGCACACACTGCAACAAGGATTTTGGCCCACTCCTCCACACAGATCTTCTCTATATCTGTCAGGTTTCGGGGCTCTCGCTGAGCAACAAGCATTCCCACTCTGAGAGACAGAATAAAAAAAAAAAATTCAGGAAATCCCTTTGTATGATTTTTAAAGAATTTATTTGTCTTGCACTGCTGAACATAAGTATTTGAACACCTAAGAAACAGCAAGAATTCTGGCTCTCAAAGACCTGTTACTGTGCCTTTAAAAAGTCCACCTCTACTCCACTCAATCTAACTTAGTAGCACCTGTCTGAGCTCTTTAAAGACACCTGTCCACCCCACAGTCAGTCAGACGCCAACTACTACCATGGGCAAGACCACAGAGCTGTCAAAAGACACCAGAGACAAAATTGTGGACCTCCACAAGGCTGGAAAGGGCTACGGGGCAATTGCCAAGCAGCTTGGTGAAAATAGATCAACTGTTGGAGCAATTGTTAGAAAATGGAAGAGGCTAAAGACGACTGTCAGTCTCCCTCTGACTGGGGCTCCATGCAAGATCTCACCTCATGCGGTATCACTGATGATAAGAAAGGTGAGGAATCAGCCCAGAACTACAAGGGAGGAGCTGGTCAATGACATGAAGAGAGCTGGGACCACAGTTTTAAAGGTCAGAACACTACGCCGTCATAGTTTCAAATCATGCATTGCACGGAAGGTTCCCCTGCTCAAGTCATCACATGTCCAGGCCCGTATGAAGTTTGCCAATGACCATCTGGATGATCTAGAGGAGGCATGGGAGAAAGTCCTGTGGTCAGATAAGACCAAAGTAGAACTTTTTGGTCTAAACTTCACTCGTCGTGTTTGGAGGAAAAAGAAGGATGAATTGCATCCCAAGAACACCATCCCTACTGTGAAGCATGGGGGTGGTAACATCATACTTTGGGGGTGCTTTTCTGCGACGGGGACAGAACGACTGCACTGTATTAAGGAGAGGATGAATGGGGCCATTTATTGTGAGATTTTGAGCAACAACCTCCTTCCCTCAGTCAGAGCATTGAAGATGGGTCGTGGCTGGGTCTTCCAACATGACAACGACCCAAAGCACACAGCCAGGATAACCAAGGAGTGGCTTTGTAAGAAGCATTTCAAGGTTCTGGAGTGGCCTAGCCAGTCTCCAGACCTAAATCCAATAGAACATCTTTGGAGGGAGCTGAAGCTCCTTGTTGCTCAGCGAGAGCCCCGAAACCTGACAGATATAGAGGAGATCTGTGTGGAGGAGTGGGCCAAAATCCCTGTTGCAGTGTGTGCAAACCTGGTCAGGAACTACAGGAAAGTTTTGACCTCTGTAATTGCAAACAAGGGCTTCTATACCAAATATTAACATTGATTTTCTCAGGTGTTCAAATACTTATATTCAGCAGTGCAAGACAAATAAATTCTTTAAAAATCATACAATGTGATTTCCTGAATTTTTTTTTAAATTCTGCCTCTCAGAGTGGGAATGCACCTACAATGTGAATTTCAGACCCCTCCAAGATTTCTAATTGGGAGAACTTGCAAAATCGCAGGGCGTTCAAATACTTCTGTTCCTCACTGTGTTTATTTTTATATATATATATATATATATATATATATATATATATATTATTCATGGTGATGTTTAAAGCTGCAATGTTGTAACCAAAGATCAAGACTTTTTCATGTTATGCTTTAACCACCTCCCGCCCACCATATAGTAATATGACGGACACAAGGTGGTTCTCTCGTTCTGGGAGGACGTCACATGGCGTCCTCCCATTCTAACCGCTCATGCACGGCTCCCGGAGTGCACAGCGCGGCAATTGGCGGTGAGCTGTGTCCCTCGGGCACAGCGGATCACCGATCCCACAGAAAGAGCCGCAGATGTCGGTTCAGTCATGTGATCAGCTGTGTCCAATCACAGCTGATCACATGTAAACAGGGAAATGCCGGTTATTGGCATTTCTCTCCTCTCGAGCTGTCGAGAGGAGAGAGAGTCAGTAATCGGCATTCCGCAGAGGGGACATGTACACTGATCATCAGAGCACTGATGATAAGTGTGCCCTGATGATCAGTGTAGCCCCAGCAGTGCCACCTGTCAGTGTCCATCAATGCCAGCTGTCAGTGCTCATCAGTGCCACGTGCCAGTGCCCATCAGTGCCACATCAATGCCACATATCAGTGCCTACCAGTGGACATCAATGCCACATATCAGTGCCCATCTGAGCTTCCTTTCAGTGTCACCCATCAGTGCCACCTATCAGTGCTTCCAATTAGTGCCACCTATCAGTGCCCGTCAGTGCCACCTAACAGTGGCAGTCAATGCCACCTAACAGTGCCAGTCAGTGCCGCCTATCAGTGCCGCCTATCAGTGCCATATCAGTGCCATATATCAGTGCTGCCTTTCAGTGCCCATCAGTGATGCCTGTCAATGCCCATCAGTGCCACCTACCAGTGCTTCCTCATCAGTGCCCATCAGTGCCACCTATCAGTGCCCATCACTGCAGCCTCTTTAGCGCACATCAGTGAAGGAGAAAAATCACTTATTTACAAAACTTTATAACAAAACTAAGAAAACATTTTTTTTTCAAAATTTTCAGTGGTTTTTGGTTTGTTTAAGAAAAAATTAAAAATCCAGAGTTGATTAAATACCACCAAAATAAAACTCCATCTGTCACAAAAAAAATTATAAAAATGTCATATGGGTACAGTGTTGCATGACCCCGCAATTGTCATTCAAAGTGCAACAGTGCTGAAAGCTGGAAATTGGCCTGGGCAGGAAGGGGGTATAAGTGCCCAGTAGACTTGTGGTTAAATCCATTCTAAATAATTTGTTCACATGAAAAGTATTGTAAGTGTAGCAAAATAGAGGTGCATCCTCTGCTTATTTAGCTCTGTACATGCAAATGTTGAGATGTGACCCACATCTGCTGCTGAGCCAGTTTTTTACTTTTTCTGTATATATTAAAGATAGATAGATAGATAGATAGATAGATAGATAGATAGATAGATAGATAGATAGAAAAGCATTTATTTTCTTTGAAAGCTATGTAGCACCATATACTGTACATGGTACATTTATTGGCACAGTAGATAGATCTGATGACATACATGAAGCTGACACAGGGAACGGTCATCCTCCTCTAATCTTGTGTTTCTGTAGTTCTGCTGATGTCTCTGCACCATCCTGGTAGACAAGTTTTCACAGTTACAAACACACACATAGACTCAAAAGCAGGGATTCTTCACATCCTTGGCCCAGGGCACTATAGAATAATCACTCTAAAAGTTAGAATTCACAGGCCACCGGCCAAACCTTTCCTGTACATCTCCGAATATATAAAGTGCTGCTGTCTTGATTGTCAGCTTTTCCTATAATTTGTTTCTTTACTTTCATGCCCCAAGGGGTAGATGCAAAGGTAATTTTTCATACCTTTTTATGTCTTCTGTTCTTTCTGATCATTTTCACTATAAACCCCAGGGAGCTTCATAGGACTGAATTTAAAAATGTTTCTTGTTGAGTACAGAATACACAAATCCCTCAAAGCGGCTTAACATCTATTTTCATATTCACAGCTCATGTTCTCTGACACAATCCTGTTACAAATACTGGGATGCTCTTCAATCAAGTGTTATGTGGTTGAGAGGCCCATTTGTAAACAAGCTTAATGGCTGCAATGAGTATTAGCTGCATTCTCTTACTGCAGCTCGCAATAATCACATTATATGCAGAATTTCCCATATACATGTAATATTACCTCTTAAGCTACAAATGTGGAATAATCCTGTCCTCTGCAACTAATTCTCTGTGCAAAATGAAGTCTTTTTTTTTTTTTTTTCTTTACGGACCTTTGCGTGAGATCTAATAGCTATAACATATCGTTTCTGCAATCGGAAGAACAATTAACATGAAATATTGGAATAGGTGGCGTTTTTCTTTATCATTTACCAGAAGACCTCAGAACCTGTTAATGGCACTAAAGTTATTTAAAGCTTGTATTTAGTGCAGTGGCATATTCAGTGCAATATAGAATGTGTCAGGCTCTATCAGATTGCTGATAACTCATGAGCTAATTTGCACTGAGCTCTAATATGGAGATAGAAAAGCTTTCAGGCTGCAAAAGAGATAGTAACGTCACAAAGTGACACCTACTTATCATATATGCCAAGAACGCAATACGCCTGGAGAGCTGTCTTTCTACAGTAAATCAGAAGACAGATCTTTTGAAGGGTGTCATGTGATATGTTACTTCAGTGCAAATGGTGAATGCAATACACAAAACATTATGCTTTCTACTATTAAAATAATATTTTATAGTAATGGAATTGATAACAATTCCACTGCAACATCAAAAGCACAGAGCAGCAGGTACTATTACAGGTTTAAAGGATACGATGACCTGTTTTTTGGGTGGAACATATAACATGTTCCTGACCCTGCAGCTGTTGCCAGCTGTCCTCTTTCCTGTGACAGAAGTGCAGGGATAAGTTCCCTGTACTAGCTGTCAGTTTTCAAAAACAGTGACCGTGCGGGGCTCCACCCACATGGCCATGTCATTCATTCACAGTGTACAGCCTTAGCAGCTGTCGGCTTGTAGTCCTCAATGAGCTACCACTTTGCTGTGAGTGCTGTGGCAGTTCATTGATTCTTCCTGTCAGCAAGTATCAGCTTGCCTGTATGGGATGTATGAGCAATCTGATACACTGACAGTGTGCAGGAGACCTGCATGGCACCAGTGATCTGTTAATCGCCTGCAATGCTTTACAGGCTCCTGACAAATAATGAAAAATAATAAATGCACAATTTTTACCTGCAAAAAAAGTGCATTTTATTTTTTGTAAAAAGATTAACTTATCCTTTAAACTGTATCTAAACCCAGAAACAAAAATGTAATATTTTGCTGCTTACCAGCCCTTGGATGGGGTGGCTTCATTAGTTTTCTTTTTTTCAGGCTTTATTCCCTTTATTTTCACCTAGTGATGCTGCCAGTAATACATTTCCAGCCCTAGGATGACAATGCACACTAAACGGTGCTGTATCTATAGAGAAGCAGCATTGTTACCCTAGAACATCAAAGGCTTAGCCCCTTAATGCCTGAACGTAAAACAAACCTTGATATGGTTTTGGTTCAGCCGGCCATAGATGGAGCGATGTTCTAACCTGCAACCACGGGCTGCCATCCCTCCCGGGAGAACACAGTGATTACTGCTAGTGGCTATAATAGTCACTAGAAATAATCGCATGTAAAATCTGACAGGTTGATCGATCATCTTAGGTAAATTCAGCCTGCACATACATGGTTTGAATATTGGTGGGTCCCTGCTGACCCGGCAAAGATTCGAACTGTCTATGGCTAGCTTAAGCAAAACTAAGTATATTAACCCCTATGTACCAAGAGTATGCAGATATGTGGCCTCTTAGCAGGTGGGCCTTGATGCCGAGAAGCTGCATATTTGCGTTCCCAAATGTAAATAAACCTTCGAGCATGCACGCTGCGCACTCCCAGCACAGTTACCGGCGCCTTACAGAAAACTCCCGATCGCTACTTGCAGTCGGGAGCTTTCTGATCATGTGACCACTGTGACAGTCAATTACGGCGGTCACATGATCATAAACCACACCCTGCCTCCCAGCATCAGAAGCCTCCTAAAGAGCCGGGGAGAGACGTTAAGGGGTTAATACAATCACCTAGTGTATCCTGGTATATTATATCTTTTTGTACAACGTATAATCAAAGGTAGAATGTTCCAAAATCATTTTAAAATATTTTTAAATTAATTTTTCTTGCCATTACCGTTACCCACTACCACAAAAAAAAAACTCCAAATAAAATCTCCTACTCCTGACATTGATGGCAATACCTCATATGTGTATATGTTGCTTCAACCCATAGTTTGGTCAAGAAACTATAGTGCACATTTTGATTTCCTTTTTCTTCCCCCAAAGCACACTGACAGTAAATAAAAAATAATTTTTTTTCCTCCTATCAAAAAAAACACTGAGATTTGACCCTGGCCTTTGACTTTAACACTGACCCCAGCCTTTGATCCTCAGCCTGAAACCTAGATCAAGCTCTGATCTGTTTTACTTTTTTTTTCTATATTTTTTTTTTCCACACAGATTTTTTTTTTGTTTGTAGTGTTTACAATTTCTTCATTAGCTAGGGGGAAACGGTAAATTGTATCAAAAGAGAAGAAAGAGTACAGGGACAGGTTTTACCGTGGCATCGCTGTGATAGCCAATCACAGACCATCACAGTGATCCTGTGATCAGGAGCCCGATCTCCTGGTTCCTGATTGGTAGTACAGGACCTGGAGTTGTTGGTGACATGGAGTAGTTTCCAGTGTGTGTGAGCTTGGTGTTAACTTTAGCACAAGGATATTCATTTTCAGGCATATGACTGTTTTTTTTAGGTTGAATGTATTTTTATTGTTTTCAAGTGCAAACATGAAGGCAAAATATAGATAAGAAATAAGAAATACAATAGGTTCACAAATATCCGAGGGCGTCAAAAAGCATATATAAGTAAAAAGTGTTGAATCATGAAAACTGACCTTTAAGAAAGGGTGGGACCATCATCTCCATTCCTTGTATTAAGTATATAAGGAGAAGGAGGAACACAAATGGGACAATAGAAAACCACATAAGTTAACAAAGCAGGTATATTGGGTCCAACAACATATTAATATAAGAAAATGGAAATAAGTAGTGTTACGGCTGTAGTTTTCAAATGTCATTGGACTCATATTCAATGTAACTTCCACTATATAAAAAATCCTTATCCTGGTATTTTAGCTTTGTTAATGGAGACTTAAAGTAGAACTAAAGTCCAAAAAAAAATACTCACTCCCTTTGCCTGAATTCTTTTCCTCAGCTTTGTTTGGGTGCTCTGTGTCTTACCTGATCCTCCACTCCCCCGGCAGACAGCACTTCCATATGATCTATTGGTGGACTTTCCCTCTGTGTCCTCACGTTCAGAGCAGGGCTATAGACCGTGCTGTGGTCTTTATGTTAGGACCCTGGTGCATGGGGGTGCAGAAGCTGCAGGGACTGGTCTAATTGCAGGGGGGAGATTAGGATCAGGTAGGTATATCTCCTTTTCTTGCTGTTCCCGTAGACACAAATAAGCAATTTAAAGGACTGTAAACCTTAAAATGTGCTTCTTTTACATAACAGACATGTTATACTTACAATGGTTCTGCACAGAAGAGCCCCAATCCTCCTCTTCAGGAGCTCCCTGCCAGCACTCCTGGCTCCTCCCCCCTGTTGAGTGCCCCCACAGCAAGCCACTTGCTATGGGAGCACTCATGCATGCTCACTCCCAAGCCACACTCTGTGTGTCCATTGACACACAGAGCACAGCTCAACCCTGCCCTCTGCTCTCTCCTCACTAGTGGTGATTGACAGCAG